TATATATATTTACTATTTTAGCTAGTTTGGAGTCATTGTAATGCTGCAGAATGAAGCTGGGCCCAATCAGATGGCGCAATAATAGTATGATGATGGAAAAGTATCTGCCTGTAATTCTTAGCAGTAAGAGGCCAATCATTTTGAACCAATAACCAACTCGGAACCATGACATCCTCATGTCCATGCTTTAATGTTATCCATACTTCGGTGGTGAGGGGGCTACCATTTTAAACAAACACAGTCCCACACCTGCAGGGAACCTCACCCTGCATCACTATTACCTGTGCTCAATCATTTATGTTCCTTTTTCAAGGCTTTTAGCAGGCCCCTCTGTTACAACCAAAAATATCATTTTGACTAATCAGTCCACAACACCTGCTGGTTTTGTGCACAAGAAATGCCTTACTTACCTGAAGTAGAAGCAGCCATCCTTGTCTCCATCTCTAGGTTTATTGCAATTCAAAACAGTTGCCTGCACATAAAAGAAAACATTTACGCTGAGGTGTTGCAAATTCCTCACAAACATCTGTCTCGAACACAGACAAATAAAATGTATATATTACATTTTCTGCTCTATTTCTGTATGATTTACCGGATATGCTAATATAACAATATATATAACATATAACAAATGCTAACAGGCCCAAGCAACAACAGAAACTAGGGGCTGCCTGCAGCTCAAATAAGCTCCTGAAGGACCTATGCTGCCTGAAATGTTTACCTGGTATAACTTAGAGAACATGAGAAGAGGAGACTAGGTAGCAACCTTGCGATCAAAAATGCCAAAAAGCCCAAGAAGCACTCGCAAGTCTAGTAAAGAATGCCTTCACAGGAAAAAGGTAGAACCAGATCCGAAACCATAGGCTTGGATAAAATACTACCGTGTTTCCCCGAAAATAAGACACTGTCTTATTTATTTTGTGGCTCAAAAAAACCACTAGGTCTTATTTTTGGGGTAGGTCTTATTTATTTATTTTTAATGTACAACAATCCTTATTCATGTAGAAAAATATGGTGATCAGAGCAATCGGGTGCCGTACCTTTTCAAGAGGAATATGGTAATTGCTGGCCAGAATGAGCGAAGCGCACTTTCACTATCATTCCTCACAGGCGGAGTGCATTTGGTATCACTCTGCCTGTGACAGGAGCCGGCGCTATAGAGAAGGCATTGGCTTATGCGGCTCTGCTCCTTCCAGTGCCGCCTCGCTTCCTCTAGCGCTGGCTTCGTTGACACCGCTGATTCTCTCCCGTGGCTCTTCAAGTTCCCCCTTATGCCACCACCGACCCTAGTAATGGTCACAACTAGGTCTTATTTTCGGGGTAGGTCTTATATTTGAGCAATTCCCATAAATAGTACTAGGTCTTATTTTCGGGGTAGGTCTTATTTTCAGGGAAACAGGGTACTTAAAGGAGAACTATGGGGTTAAGGCTTTTCCCCATAGTTCTCCTTAGGGTAACGGGAGGACACAAACTAGCGTCCTCCCGTCACCCTAAGCACAGTATACCACGAGCCACAGCTCGCGGTATACTGAGACGCCACAGTATACCGCGAGCTACTGCTCGCGGTATACTGAGACGCTGAAGCGGATCCTGACAATTATGTCTGGATCCGCCCAGCTGCGTGAGCGACAGCTGGCTCTGCCTATCTAGAGGCAGAGCCAGCTGTAACCGCCCCCTCCAGCCCCTCTACTGTCACGGCAGAGAGCTGTGACAGGATCGAGAGGTGAGTGAACGCCGGTATGTGTTTGCTCACTTTCCGATCTACTGAGCCGACCTGTGACAGTCTCATTGTCACAGGTCAGTTAGAACTATGAGGTGAGTGAAAAGCACTCACCTCATAGTTCTCCTTTAAGCCACCTAGAGTGGTTGATCCAAGATGACAAAAAGAGAATTAGTCTTTAGAAAGAAGAAGATTCTAACAGCCTGAACCACACCCAGGCAACTGAGGGAAATTTCCTTTGGATGAATTGGTTCCTGACAGAGAGTTAAAAGAACAATTTCCTAGTTGAGGTGAAAGGCAGCAAGAAGAAAGGTCTTGTGTCTCGGCACCACTTTGTCCCTATGCAAACCAGAAAGGGTTCCTTGCAGGATGAAGCAGCCAGTTCAGACCCTTGCCTCACAGAGGTGGCGGCTACAAGGAATATCACCTTTTGGGTTGTAGAAAAAAAGGAATGCCCCTAATGGATTCAAATGGTGGTTTCCGAAATGCAGAGAGAAACAGAGTGAAACTAGTCAAATAGGACTGCCTTGAAGGAGGCTACCAAGAGGTCACAATAAAAGCACAGAGTCTGACGACTCCTAGACTGGAGGGCTTGAATCTAAGTTTCTAATGTGAAAAAATATATACAGTACAGATTCTCCCACATGATGAGTTGGTTGCAGCGCCAAATTCTAAAGTTTCAGGATGCATCTGCATTGCTGTAATGTCTGAACAGTAAAAGCCAAATTTTCTGACAGAGCTCACGCCGAATGTTCCCTCTACAGCAGGTCATCTAAGAGTCCCACAATAGGAATGCCACAAGAGCACGGGGGCCAGCACCTTGGTGAACACCTGAGGTACAGATGATAGGCTGGGCCACGAATTGGTAGTGTAGGGGCCTCTCAGAAAAATGAAGGAAGCCTTGTATGCTGCTAAGATAGGAAGATTCAGGTACACATCCTTAATGTCCACAGTAGCCCAAAAAAGTCTCCCTGGTGACAGGAGGAGATGACAGACTTGGTGGATTCCATACAAAATCTCTAAACTTGAATGAAGATATTTAGAGCTTTGACATCCAAGATGGGGTGTCCCCTTTTGGTTTGGTAATGGTGAACAGGTTTTAAAAATCTTTAAAAACTGTTCTGCTATGGGATATGGGGCAATGACAACTTGGTCCAGAGGATCTGAGAGGGCTTGATAGAGATCTGCTAATCTGTGCAGTGACACCGGAAGTTTGAAGGTGAGAAACAGAGGTGGGGGCATGGAGTGGAAATCCAGTTTGTATTCCTGGGATATCATCTCCTGCACCCAAGCGTCTGAGATGCAGTCTGTTCTTCCACTGAGAAAAATGGCTATTCTTGCCACCGGCTACGTCCTTGAAAATAGTATTAACCCCTTCGTGACGGGAGACGTACACTGTACGTCCAGCCACAAAGGGACCAAATGACTTGTCACGTACACTGTACGTGACGAGTTATTTGCTTCTTTAGAGGGCTGTTAAACGCTGAGAATCAGCTTTTAACATGCATTAATGGCTGCCCTTACTACAGAGGCATTCATTAGGGTTAACCTTTTTCAGACACCCGATACCTTAATATCGGGTGTCTGAGAGTCAAAGCAGAGGGACACACATGCCGGCTTTTGCCGGCATTCTGACAGCTCGTATAGATCGAGAGAGATATCTCTCTCAAGCTATACTGGCTTTTTTTTCTTTTTTTCTTTCATGAATAGATACATAATGTGTCTATTCCTATAATGTATCTATTCCTGGAAGAAGAATGTTTCAGTTTGCTGATCGTTGTTGCAACAATCAGAAAACCTATAGTGACAGCTGAATCCTGAACTGCTGCAGGATCAGTGTCACTAACTTATTATCGGCTGTTCTGAAGTTTGAAGCAGCCTGATAATAACCAAAAATTTATTAATTTATCAAGCAGTAACAGTGAGATTAATTCACAATGACTGCTTGATATAATTAAATAAATAAAATACAATTTTTAAGTTTAAAAAAAAGTGAAAAGTGTAAAAAAAAAAAAAATTGTGAAAAGTGTAAAAAAAAATGTGTAAAAATAAAATAAGGGACAAATAAATGAATGTATTTATTGCATTTTTTTAGCTGTGCTGGTGTTGTAAAAAAAATACTACAAATCAAAACTGGGAAAAAGGTGTCTTTTTTAACGTTTTTTCCCCTTTTTTTTTATATTTTATTTGTCCTAAGTGAGGCGTTAGACACACATATGTGATATAAATATGTAGCCCTATCTGTCCTCTAAAAAACAATATATAATATGTGTGGGTGCACTTTGTAAGAAAGTATATTACTGACGTGGAAGAATCACACAGCAAAAATGTCAAAAGTGTGTCAGTCATTTACGAACAGCAACTAAAAACAAGCTCAGTCATGAAGGGGTTAAGAGTGGATCTAAAGCCTTGGTTCTCAACCGGTGGGTCGTGGCCCAAAAGTGGGTTGCGACCCCGTGTTCAGTGGGTCGCCACGTTTCTTCCTGTTTTCTAGGTGAGAGGCATCCCAGCCTCCCCGTAGTGCAGCATGGTCAGTTCTCGTGCCAAGCAGCCATTCAAAATATGCTGCCCGGCACCGAGTGTCAGCTTGAGGTGGGGTGGGCTGGAGCTATGGCATTGAGGGAACTCCATCAATACGTGCATTGCATACAGCTTCCTCACATGTAGAGGTGTCTGGACCGGAGTGATGCCACATTCTGGCTCCCGAGACCTCTACAGGGCGTGCAAGGGAGCTGTACCAGCAATGCACATATGGATGGAGCTCTGTCACAGCACAGCAGCCCACACTGGACCCCGGGGGCTGAGGATCCACTCCAGTTCTCGTAAAGTAGAGAGACTGGGTGGACCTTAGAAAAAAATATAATTTTTTTTGGAGTGTATATGTGTGTGAGATTGTCTGTGGGTGTGTGTCTGTCTGTTTTTTTGAGGGCCTGTTCACACTAGTACAATGTGTTATTCGAACAGTCCTGTGCAATTAGTGGACTGTATCATGCAATCGCACCCACTATGCGTCGTTCTGGTGTGGGAGGTGCGTTGCGTTGTCATTTATTTGAATGGCATCCCATATGCACCTCCCGCCCACAGTTCAATCGCCCGCACCGGAGCGGGCGGTACCGCAATGCCGTGCGTTCCATTACATTGTGACTTGGGTGGCAACTTACTGACCAAGGACAAATAAGGGTCCTGAGGTTACACAGGTTGAGAACCACTGATCTAAAGAGATGTTGTCCCTCACAGGTTTTGCAGATCAAACACTTAACAATAGTACCCTACACGGGTACTGAAAGGAGACTCATGTGAGAGATGAGAGAGAAGATTCCAGCTAACCGTCACAACTGTGCCATGAATTCTGTAATCAAGGCATCAACTGCAGTTGTGGGAAGAATCCTTTTGAGGGGATTCTGGTCAGCCATGGTTTGACAGAGTAAAGTCACAACCAGGATATTGTGAATGGCAGGGTCCACGTTGCTTGGGTCCTTAAAGACAGGCATGCTGTCTGCTGGAATAGTAAGCTTCTTGTTAGGGCAGGACAATTACAGAATAGAACCCTTTTGTGCAACATTCTTGGCAAACTAGGTGTATCCAATCTACATAAGAAAGTGTTAGAAAAGCAAACGCAGTGGAAAGGTCTTTGAGGCCTTAGGAGTTTTAAAAGTGTAGAAAATCAAAGAAAAAAGGTGCTAGCAAAAAAATTAGTTAGTCTTTCACACAGCAGAGTTGCAGAAAAAATCGTCCATTTTCTAGGACACAAGCAAAAAATTGAGGCATACTGGTAGTAGGAGGGGTTATCCTGGGCTGACCTACAGGTTTTTTGTTTGCCAGTGTCCTATCCTCCTGTAAGTAGCAGTACAACCCGAAGGACAGGAAACAAATCAAATTCACTTTGCAAAGTTAACATGCTTTTCTCCTTCAGTAAATTAGAGTCATTGTGCCTGGTACATTTGTGAGTTGTGCTTATAAGTTCCTTGATATTGCACTGTACCCTATCAATATGGAACACGCATACGTTGAACAAAAATAAAGAAAGCTGTTGCCTAATATGGGGGCAATGTCCGACTTAATTTTTGTTAAGCCTGTAAGTTGTTTCCAGACAAAAAAAGAAATAACAGGTCTATTCACTAAAGGGTGTTGGGCTGTGCAGGGTCTTGGGCCTGTGCAGGATCTGTGGTGGGCTCTGCCCACCATAGACACCGCAGAGCTCTCCACAAATCCTGCTAAGCCCCCTTAAGACCACAGCTTTCCTGCTATGCTAATAGCGGAACATGTCAAAAGCTGGATACAGTGTTTGCACTGTATCCAGCGACTGACAGGTCACGCAAAAAGTATTAAAACAGGAAGGGGTGGGGGCGCCCCAGTTTTGCCTTGCCTAGGGCAGCCCCAATACACCACTGCGTTTAGGGACCACCAATTGAAATAGATCCGACTGACCCGGATCGCCTTGGTATGCGATCCGGGCCAGTCACAATTAGGCAGCGGCAGCCAATAAACAGGTAGGTTAGACGGCTGCTTCCTCGTCGCTAGGACCCCGGGAGGCGCCTGCAAGCGGCCGTCTATTCTGCCTGTTTAGAGGTCACCGCCGCTGCCTGTGACCGGCCCGACTACAGAGGCGATCCGGGACGTTCGGGTCCCCCGTGAGAGCCGTACAAGGCCGTAAGGCAGTGATGTTGAACGTTTCTTAAACCCGAGCGCCCAAACTGCAATACTAAACTTAGTTTCTGCGCTGGCACTTTGAGATAAATAAATTGATTTTGCGTGAGTTTGGGCACTCGGGTTCAAAAAGGTTCGCCATCACTGTCCTAGATTGTTCACTACTCCTGCGTTCTCCAAACTCTTCACCCTGTAGTGAATAGACATGTGTGTTTTATGTGTATGTTTGGAAGAAACTTTTTTCTTAGTACATTTCCACAAACAAAGCTTCAGCGTGTGTGCACACTAGTTATTAGTGGATCTGGTGCTAGAAAAGTAGACCAACCCTATGGTACACAAAGTGAGGGGAAAGAAAGAAATGCACAAAGAACATGTCAGACACTAAACTACACATTCTTGAATGTGTAACCCTTTTTCTGTCTGAGCCGTGTGATTTTTTTTTTTTTGCACACATTCGGTCTGAAAAGTGCCCCACACAACCATACATTTTCTAAAAGTGACCATCCTAGAGAAGAAAATTGTAGTAGTTGAATTCACGGCATTCAAATTAATGTTACACACATAATATAATACCATTTTTTGGTAAAAAAAAAAAAAAAGATGTGGTTGAGTTGTAGAAATAGATACCAAACATGTTAAACCGAAAATGTCCATACGTGACGCTTTAAAAGCCTTTGCAGGTCAATAATTTAAAGTTAACCGTAAATAATGGCTCTAGAAGTATTTTGTGTAGTGCAGTCATTGTTCTCATGCGCAGGAGTGCCCATTGGATGCTTTTAAGTTCTTATGTCTGTGTATGTAGCGGGGGGGCTTTAAATTTTTTTTATTTTTAATTGATTATATTTAACTTTAATTTTTTTTAATAATTTTAACACCTAAATGTATTGCTATCACACGGGGGTCTAACAAGCCCCTTATATGATGGTACTTTGGAGGTGACTGGTTCTCTTAAAAGTAGACATTAAGGGTCTCATTTGCACTCCAATGAGGCTAATCAATCACAGATGCCAGGAGATGGGAAATTACATCTCTAAAACCAGAAGTGTCAATATTTTGAACAGCAAACATCCACTCTACCCACCTACCCCCACCATAATTGTGGGCCAACAGGAGGAAGTGGAGCTTGGGATACAGTGGAAGGAGTGGGGGTGGCATGCTGCAGGACTCCTGCAAGTGATCAGGGGGCTTTACAGACGACCAAATCACTTCCAGAACAGAGCCAGCTGAATAAATTTAAAAACGGACTCCTGGCTTCCATAAGTTTACAGGGCCGCGCTGCCACAGATTAGTAATTATGTCTGTGGCAGTGAAAAGGTTAGAAAAAGAAATGTACCAATTAAACAATTTTTAAAATTACTGAATGCAGAGTAATATACTGTATATGTAGAAATTACTTACAGTGGGTGAAGGTTTCGTCCCTGTTGTTTGAGCCTTCCACATTTTCATGGAGCAGTTAGTTGGAGTAAGATTTTTAATTGCATCTCCATCTTCAGGCAGAACACTTACCACAAAGTCTAAGTATACAGACAAGAGACTAGTCAAGCACTTATCATTTTTCTGTTTATCTGTTTTGATAAACTTGGCTGGGCAAAGCTTCATTTTCAATTATGTATCTTTAAAGTTATTAATCAAACTCCTGACTTTGTGAACACTAAGGCCCCATTCAGACTGAGCGACATGAAAATCGCGCGATTTTATATGAGCGATATTGAGCGACTTTTTCCTATTCGGCTGTATGCAATCAGGAGCAAAATCGCTTGAAAAAAGGATCATGTAGGAGCGACAAGCTACAGTGACAAGCTACAAGCGATATTGAGCGATATTGAGCGACGCGATGTGAACAGCTCCATTGAAATGGATTGGAGAAGCTACATAGAGCGATATCGTGTGGAAATATGAGAGATATCGCTGCAAAAATCGCTCGATAAATCGCTCAGTGTGAATGGGGCCTTAAAGATTCAGATTAAAATCAACAAGCAAACATGTGGAACATGGTAACATGAGAAATTTACAACAAAGCTGCCTTCTCTATAATCTCTACTTTTTGTAACACAGCAATTTGTAATACTGGTTATTATCACTTTATAAGCAAATCTCAGAAAAGTGTATAACAAAAAAATTGAGGTAACTTCTGTCATGCCTAAATATGCCTTTTTGGGTAATCAGGGCTAGGCTGAGATTTTGTTTTAGAAATGAACGAGCATCATGATAAAGGCCCCATTGGTGACCAATTTAGTCTAGACATACAAATGATCCATGCTTTGTGAACAAAACATAGGGGTTTCAACTAAAGACCAGAGGCTGCCCACTTTCTGTCTTTCTGATAAAGATCTCGATAAATACCAGTCAACTTACCAGGAAAAACACTTCCAGCTGTAAAATCTACGCCTTTATCATATTTAACGGAAACAGAGACTGGTTTCTCAGGGTCTGCCATTACTTTAACTTTCACTGGTCGACTTTCCAAGGTACTTTTGTGATGTGATGCTTTACAGTGCAAGGAATAAACCCCCCTATAGTGCACAAAAAAAAAAAAAA